ACGCGGCTAGCGCGGCTCCTCGCCACTGAAGAGCTCGCGGATGGCCATCAGGGTGAGGTCCTCGAGGCTGGAGATGCGCAGGTCGGCGTGCATCATCTCATAGGCCGGGTGCTTGCCCACGAGCGCCACCGCCTTCGCCAGCGCCTCCTTTGCGCTGCTCACGCCCTGCGGCGAGTCCTCAAACACGACGCACCGCGCGGGCGGCCGCCGCAGCTTGACGCAGGAAGCGAGGTATGCCTGCTCGGCCGTCTCGGCGCCATCCTCGGCGCAGATGGAGGCCTGGAAGAAGCGGGCCATGTCCGCCGCCTCCACCTTGTCCGACAGAGAGCGCTCGTCCAGCTCCGAGCAGAGGCAGCAGGGCACCTGGTACTCGTTGAGCAGCGTCAGCAGCCGCACGGCGCCCGGACGCGGCTCGAAGGCGTAGCTCGAGAAGCGGCGGCCAAGCGCCTCGCAAAACTCGTACGAGAGTGCCTGGGCGACGCCCCAGTCGTCGAGATATGGGGAGATGGGGGGAGATAGGGGGAGATATGGGAGAGTGCCTGGGCGACGCCCCAGTCGTCGAGCGCAGGCTGCCAGCGGAAGACCTGCGTCACGGCGATCTCTGTCAGTGATTCCTTACGAGTTCGGTGCCTGTGAGTGATTCATTCTTCAGTAGGGACGGCCTGCGTCACCGCAATCTCTGGGAAATCTGGGGAGATCTGGGAGATCTGGGGAGATCTGGGGAGATATGGGGAAGACCTGCGTCACCGCGATCTCTGGCCGCCGGCCGACAGTGCGGTCGCTGTCCTCTGCGTCGAAGGGGAGGCCATGCGCCTCGGCCACCTTCGGGGGCGGGTGAGGGGGCGGGTGAGGGGGCGGGTGAGGGGGCGGGTGAGGGGCGGGTGAGGGGGCGGGTGAGGGGGCGGGTGAGGGGGCGGGTGAGGGGGCGGGTGAGGGGGCGGGTGAGGGGGCGGGTGAGGGGGCGGGTGAGGGGCGGGTGCGGAGCAGGGAGAGGGGGAGGGGGAGGGGGAGGGGGAGGGGGAGGGAGACGGTGACGGTGACGGTGAGAGTGAGGGGAAGGGTGGGGCGGGAGGGTGGAGCGCGGG